GGGCCACAATAGACAATGAAAGTTTTACATTGGAATATGTAGGGAAAATCTTGAAAAAATTCTTTTCTCAAGAACAGCAAAGCCGTGATTGGTTATATTTACATGGAAACATCAGGTAGTATAGATTCAAGTTTGTTCAAATCATGACTCTGGATTCTGGGGATAGGGTGGGGCCACAATGGACGATCAAAGATTTACAAAAGCTCCTTTCAGTTTATTTTATACTTCTATGGATTGTTGTTTTATACTCAGGTGACTGTTAAGGCCTTTGGGCCTCTTGTTTAATTTACATATAATGTGGGCCCGCGGATCACATTGTGGGCCCATAAAATTTGAAAAGTTAGAAGCCCACATGGTCAAAATTAATAATATACAAGCATCTTGTAATATAAAGCATGTTTAGATGCTAGGGTATCGTTGTTTTACTGTTTTCAAAATTTTTTTTACACTTCCTGTAATTGTAATTTAAAGGTTTGAAAAAACAAATGAATAATTTTTCAGAATTTATAATTAGGTACCTAAACACTGGTATTTAAGTCTCTGTATCGTGATACATATCATACAATAAAAAAATCACAATATACAAATATAGATAGTTTTCAATAGATGCGATTTTAGCATGAGTTATTTCCTGTTGGTCGCCATTTTGGAGGTCAACAAGCCCAGTTTCCTTCATTATTCAACCAATTTAAACTTATTATACTGGGCAATGAGGGGAAGATAACAAAGTTTTTCTTACGGATTTATGTTAGCAAAAGCCTCCTTTAATTCATCTTTTTAGTAATTTAAAGATTTTTGCCCTTAAATGTTTAAAATTGGTTGCTCAAAGAAGAAAATTCACTAGTTATACCCCCGCTCTGAAGGAGAGGGGGGTATACTGTTTTACCCTTGTGTGTCTGTCTGTGTGTCCGTGTGTCTGTCCGTAACAAATTTTTGTCACAGTTTTCTCAGCAACTACTCAGCGCAGATGCTTGAAATTTTAGCACAGTCTTTGTTTAGGCATGCCATATGGTGGGATTCATTTCTGTTAGAATCCGATGTCAATTTCCTGTTTATCCGTGCATCTGTCCGTAACAAATTTTCCTCACAGTTTTCTCAGCAACTACTTATCACAGATGCTTGAAATTTTAGCACACTCTTTGTTTAGGCATGCCATATGGTGGGATTCATTTTTGCTTTAATTTGATGTCAACTTCCTGTTTATTCATACATCTGTCCCTCCCAAATTTCTTTCACAGTTTTCTCAGCAACTACCCAGCACAGATGCTTTAAATTTTAGGACAATCTTCGTGTCAGCATGCCATATGGTGGGATTCATTTTTTTTTTAAAATCTGATGTCAACTTCCTGTTTATCCATGTGTCTGTCTGCCAAATTTCTGTCACAGTTTTCTCAACAACTGCTCAGTGCAGATGCTTGAAATTTTAGCACAATCTTTGTTTAGGCATGCCAAATGGTGGGATTTATTTTTGTATGAATTCGATGTCAACATGAGAGTGTATATTCACATCAGAGCGGGGTTATTACTAGTGAGCATTTGCTCAAAGACTTCTTGTTTGACCTCCAAGATGGGAAATAACTCTAAGGGAAAATACATCATATGAAAACTCTATACCGATAAAATTGCACATCCCTAGACAGTTAATGTTTTATATCTACATGTACAATTCATTTGTCAGGAAGAGAGTGGTGACTTGGGTAAGTGTTGTGTTTCATGGACCTCTTGTTAGCTCACCTGAGCCGAAGGCTCAAGTGAGCTTTTCTGATCACATTTTGTCCGTCGTCCGTCCGTCCGTCTGTCCGTCTGTCTGTCCGTCTGTCTGTCCGTCTGTGTAAACTTTTCACATTTTTGACTTCTTCTCAAGAACCACTGGGCCAATATTAACCAAATTTGGTACAAAGCATCCTTGAGTAAAGGGGAGTTTAAATTGTTAAAATAAAGGGCCAAACCCCTTTACAAGGGGAGATAATCAAGAAAAGACAAAAATAGGGTGGGGTCATTAAAAAATCTTCTTCTCAAGAACCAGTGGGCCAGAAAAGCTGAAACTTATGTGGAAACATTCTGGGGTAGTGTAGATTCTAAATTGTTAAAATCATGACCCCCAGGGCAAGGGCGGGGCCACAATAGGGAATCCAAGTTTTACATTGAAATATATAGAAAAAAATCTTTAAAAATCTTCTTCTCAAGAACCATTGGGCCAGAAAAGCTGAAACTTATGTGGAAGCATCCTGGGGTAGTGTAGATTTTAAATTGTTAAAATCATGACCCCCAGGGCAAGGGCGGGGCCACAATAGGGAATCCAAGTTTTACATTGAAATATATAGAAAAAAATCTTTAAAAATCTTCTTCTCAAGAACCATTGGGCCAGAAAAGCTGAAACTTATGTGGAAGCATCCTGGGGTAGTGTAGATTCTAAATTGTAAAAATCATGACCCCCGGGGGAAGGGCGGGGCCACAATAGGGAATCCAAGTTTTACATTGAAATATATAGAAAAAAATCTTTAAAAATCTTCTCAAGAACCATTGGGCCAGAAAAGCTGAAACTTATGTTGAAGCATCCTGGGGTAGTGTAGATTTTAAATTGTTAAAATCATGACCCCCGGGGAAAGGGCGGGGCTACAATAGGGAACCCAAGTTTTACATTGAAATACATAGAAAAAATCTTTAAAAATCTTCTTCTCAAGAACCACTTAGCCAGACAAACTGAAACTTATGTGGAAGCATGCTGGGGTAGTGTAAATTCTAAATTGTTAAAATCATGACCCCGGGGGAAGGGCGGGGCCACAATAGGGAATCCAAGTTTTACATTGAAATATGTAGAAAAAATCTTTAAAAATCTTCTTCTCAAGAACCATTAGGCCAGAAAAGCTGAAACTTATGTGGAAGCATCCTTTGGTAGTGTAGATTCTAAATTGTTAAAATCATGACCCCTGGGGGCAGGGTGCGGCCACAATAGGAAATCCAATTTTTATATTTAAATATATAGAAAAAAAATCTTCTTCTCAAGAACCACTTGGTCAGAAAAGCTAAGACTTTTGTAGAAGCATCCTGGGGCAGCGTAAATTCTAAAGAATTCAAATCTTGACCCCTGGGTGTAGGGCGGGGCCACAATAGGGAATCAAAGTTTTACATTGAAATATATAGGAAAAATCTTCAAAAATTTTCTCCTCAAGAACCTCTTGGCCAGTAAAGCTGAAACTTATATGGAAACATCCTAGGGTAGTGTAGATTTTAAATTGTTAAAATCATGATCCCCGTGGGTAGGGCGGGGCCACAATAGGTATTACAAAAAGATCATCTGGTGAAGAACAGCAGGGCCAAAGTTATTCAGGTGAGCGTTGTGACCCATGGGCCTCTTGTTTTTCTGTACAGTGTCAGCTGTTGTGATATATGTATTGTATATATATGTTGCCTTAGAAGCTAGGGGTGAATTCACATAAAGCAGTATGCAATGGTTTCTGATAACTTAGTTAATAACAATACATTAATATTCTCTTTGGTAATTTTTGTCCAGAGGTACTTTGAATAAGCACTCATGTTGTAAGGTTTCTCAGGCCAGATCTTTCTTGGGAAGTAAGGTTGCATAGCCCTTTAGTGCTGTAGCCATTAAGACTTGAATAATATTCTGATACAGTAATATGTTAGAACTACGAGTCTTTGATTCATCATTCCAGTATAGAAAGTCGTATCAAAGCCCCATGTTGTAGTACTAGATTCTTACAATA